CTCCTTCTTGGTGAATTGGTAGAAAAGGCCATATTGTTACCACTGCTTGCCCCCGAGAATGATAGCAAAGTGCAAGGAAGGCCTCTCACTTTTTACTCTGCACATTTCTGTACTGTTAAAATGTTAGGTTAGGGTTTTTTGTTTTGTTATTTATTTATTTACTTACAATTTTAACACTTCATTAAAGTTATTGGGGTGATGATGGTCAATATGAACATACAGGCTTCAGGTATGGTTAACAGATTGTTTTGTAACAAAAAAATTTAATAAAAATTACGTTATAGCCACAGCTACCCCTCTGACAGTCTTCTCCAGCATCTCACCAACTGCCTAGAAAGAGTTAACAGAGAATTCCAGGTGTTTCATGAGGACAAATCCCCCCCCCCATTTGGTCTGTGGGGGGTGGGAGTAGAGTTAGAGGTGAGAAGCAACAAAAAGTGAAAAGGGGAGGAAAGAAGAGGGCTGGCTGCCCAGGTCTCAATCTGACCAATAGCAGAAAAGTTTCAGGCCCAACGCCCATTTGTGGAGAGTATTTCAGGAGTCAGGAATTGCATCTGAGTTCACTGTCACTTGTCAAAGAAGAATTAAGACAGCTTTCCGGTTTGGCTACTTGGAGGCTGCTTGCTTCTCCTTGACTTGAAAGGTAAAATTTCAGGCCTCAGCTAATCTGGTGGTGGGGGTTGGGGTGTATGCTTTTTCCTTTGTGGTGTATTGACTTCTTTTTCCACAGGAAAGGTGCTTATAGGATAGTGCTTTATTTTTACCATCGACAATATTAACACTAAATTTCTTGGTTCTTGTTTGCAGAAGGCAAGATACAGTCTGTTGATGTGTTAGGGACACATTTTTCTTGGACAGGCACTGCATAGGAAAGAGGAAACACATATTCTTTGGTTGTGTAAGAGTTTTCATGTCATTTGTCCTCAGTTTCACTGATATCACAGTTAAGCTTTTATGAGGACTAGGGTTGCACGTCGCGAATCCCGCCGTATCAACAGAAGGCTCTCTGCCAACGTTATAGGATGGGTTCTTGCTTTAGTTTCCATCTGAGCAAAAGGTCTTAAAACTCCCCTCATTCATAACACAGCTACTCTTCATGAGAAAGCAGCGAAACAAAGAAAAAAGTTTGGAAAGAGATGTCCAATGAGGTCACCCCTATGTTTAGGTCCAAATATAGCCACCCAAGCTGGTGCCCTGTGCTTAGTGTCGCTGCGACCTCCTTTTGTCTCCACAGACTTTGCTAGTGATGGATCCATACGTGATTCAGATGAATGGCAGCGGCAACCTCCCCTCCGTTGTGGATGTGCATGTCAACATCGGGGGGAGAAGCTCCATGCCGGGAAAAGCGAAAGGCAGGAAGGCCAGGTGGTCCGTGAAGCCCTCTGACATGTCCAACAAAACTTTCAATCCCATCCGGGCCATCGTGGACAGCATGAAGGTGAAGCCAAACCCAGACAAAACCGTGATTTCTCTGTCGATTGGTGAGTTGGGGCACTCGACTAAGGGGTGGTCATTGTTCCTCTCACCCCCGTCCTCCTGGGCTGATGGGAGAAGATGGGAGTGGAGGGTGAGTCTGAGCACTGGGCATGGAAGAGTAACCTCTTGGTGGCTTTTTTTTCTCCCATGAAAAGGGGACCCTACTGTGTTTGGAAACCTGCCTACAGACCCAGAAGTTACCCAGGCAATGAAGGATGCCCTGGACTCGGGGAAGTATAACGGCTACGCCCCCTCCATTGGTAAGCTTCTCCCGAGACTCTAAGTGGTGGCTTCCAAGTCTTTACTGCTCTTCCAATAGGAATGAATTTCTAGCATTCTCCTTGCTTTCCCAATGCATAGTTCCTAAGGAGAGGCCAAGATAAACCGGCCATCTGGATTTGGGGAAAGGGGTCTTAGGATATTTAAACATGAGCTTCAAGGTCCAACTTCTTTCCTGGCTTTCTTTGACATACTGGCATCTCCCCTCTAGGCTCCCATCACATACTTATTTCTCAAATAATGCTCCTATCCTGTCATTGCTAATTCTCAAATGAAGGCCTTGAACTTGGGTGTAGCTGCTTGCTCACTGAGCCCTCTAGGTCCTAAGTTAAGCTGCTTGGCTATATTTCTCCTTCTCTGTGTAGTCAATGCTTGTTTTAATTATGGTCCTGATCTCACTCCCAATAAAGTTGTAGTTGTTTCATATTAAAGAGAAATAAACAACAAAGAATAGACTATCCTATTGAAGAATAGAAGGTTGCTTCTGACAGAATTATTCTTATTTAGGTTTAACTCTCTCCATCTATGAGACATTTACATGCTAAACATTTTGGTAAAATAAGTGATTCCTTGACTTTGTTTCAGTGTCACACATTTTCCTCCCGTGTTTATGTGCACACAGAAACGTATTCTTAAGGCAGAATAACAATTCAGTTTCATGCTAAAACAGAATTTTAAAAACACTTCAAAGAGGTCTCAGGGACATGATTTTTAGGTAGATTATTTACATTTTATAAAGTCTCATACAACAAAAATCAAAACAAAATAAGACCAAAAGTTAGGTTATAAAAAAAGCTTGTAGTGACTTTTATAATCAAAGCATTAGAGAATTGATTCAACCTGAAAAACCAAAGCCAACTCTCTTAAATATTCAAAGGATCTGAACACTCGAACCAAAAAACACACAAAATAATAATATAAACTATATCTTGGAAAAATGCTCTTCTTTATTAGTAATCAAAGAAGTGCTGATCTCTATAACTTCAAGAGATCCATCTCTACCTGCTAAATTAACAAACACTATAAAATATTGCTTCTCGCCTTGCTAACCAGAGACGATCTTTTTGAAGAGCAGTTTTGCAAAACATGATCATTTGCATGCAACTGTCTATCCTTCAAGATTGTAAGCCAGCATTTCAAAATAATGTATAAGACTATGTTTTAAAAGAAAAAAGTTGTACAGAAACACAAATAGGGATATAATTTAAAAAACTTAAAATGGACCCACTGTATCACACTCTTATATTACAACTGTTCATAGTTTGGGGAGCTCTTTCTTGTTATTATTTATATATTTGTGCTTATTTTAAAAATTTCGAATATAAAGTTAATCTCCTTTATCTACAACGGCCGAGAGCTAAACTGAGTAGTATGCACTCTGAGCAGGGACAAAAGGAGGCCCTGAAGCTCTGTGACTCTAGGCTATAGCTGTCAGTTGTGGGGTGAGAACTTCCAGCTTCCTCCTGTGCTCCTTTCCTTCAGGTTACCTGTCCAGTCGGGAGGAGATTGCTTCTTACTACCACTGCCCCGAGGCGCCCCTGGAAGCTAAGGTGAGCCTTAGACAAGGAACCAGCTCTGAAGCAATATTGGGCAAACTACATATCCTTTTCATTATTTCTGTTCCACAAATAAGGGTATCAGGGGAACAAAGGCTGGAGATGGTTTCCCTTTAACAATCGGAGGACTTCCTATGTAATGGGGACACTAATCAGTATTTAATGTCATTCCAGTATGATAATGACATTGCATACAGCTTATGTGGTGTCTGTCTCAAGGAGGCTCAAAGGACTCCCAGGTCACTCTGTGTTTGAGTCTCTGCAAAAGATCACTGAAAACCAGTAATTCACAAACGCCAGAGAAAATTTAAAAATTTTTTTATTTTTACCAATAGGTTCTTTTTAAAATTTGTAGCTTCCCTCATCCACTTTAGGAAGACTGATCTACCACAACATACTGAATTGATGGCAGTGCCAAGTATAAATGCCACCCTCACCTCTTGTTTACTGTGTGGAGTCAACATTTCTTAACATAAAAGGTGCCCTTCATCTACATTTCAGAGAAGAGCCAGGCTCCAACTCTCTGGTCAAAAGTAAATAAATAACCAGGCGAAAAGACCCAAGGTCATAATGATCTGTCATGGAAGTTGGCTGAGTCACAGCTGACCTATCCTTTTTTAAGTGGTTTATTTCTTTTAAGTGGCCAACATGTTCAACCACCTTTAGATAGGGACATATATAAGCATGTTAATTTCTTTCATTTTTGGCTTAGTACAGTCCCTACTACTTTACTTAGAACTTGCAAAAGTAAGCTTATCTTTGTTCCCCACACACCCATCTGACAATTTCCTTTCTCCTGTTGCAGTTGGTACCACTAACAAAATGAACCTTTTATTTTTTTTCTTTACAGGATGTCATTCTGACAAGTGGCTGCAGTCAGGCTATTGAACTGTGTTTAGCTGTGTTGGCCAACCCAGGGCAAAACATCCTAGTTCCGAGACCCGGTTTCTCTCTCTACAGGACTTTGGCTGAATCTATGGGGATTGAGGTCAAGCTCTACAATTTATTGGTAAATGACTTTTTAATTTTAGACACAAGTGCTCGAGTACTACTTTGTAAAAATATATGAGCATTATCTTAGCAGAAAAAGATCTGGAAGTGGGTGGCCCAGACTGCAGACACATTTTATTATTTATATTACACCATTGAGTTAAATGAGTAGTCCCCCTAAATTTTTCAGAATCATCTTAGTCTCACCCTTTCTTCCTCCCCAGCCAGAGAAGTCTTGGGAAACTGACCTGAAACAACTGGAATCTCTGATTGATGAAAAGACAGCTTGTCTCATTGTCAATAATCCATCAAACCCCTGTGGGTCAGTGTTCAGTAGGAGTCATCTCCAGAAGATTCTGGCTGGTGAGTCCAGCACACTTTACTTGACAGGGGAGGAGATGGTGATGTAGCCCTTCGGCCATTTCTTAGAATGAGAAGGAGCCCGCCAGTAAGCCCCAAGCCTGGGGTGGAGGTCAGGGAGCTCCGCTGGGGTCTCTAGTGAATAGTGTGACCTTGGAATGGTAGGACTTGCCTAAAAGAAGGAGAAAAAGAGGAAATACTTGCCACTCTACCACTCCCATGATGTAGAAGAGAGGGCCTGAACTATCTAGTTAATTAAATGGCAAATTTAGGCCTTGTACCCCAGAAGAGTGTAATAAGAACTTACAGTTCTTAAAGAGGAAGACGAAGCACAAAAACATGAAAGGCAGAGTATGATAAGCCCAGGTCAATAATAAGTGCAAAGTCGATAGGCAATGCACGTTAACAATTTCCATGTTTCTTTTCTTTTCAGTGGCTGCAAGGCAGTGTGTCCCCATCTTAGCTGATGAGATCTATGGAGACATGGTGAGTCTTGGGCAGGAAATCTCATGGCAATAACCTCCATTCCAAATTATTTCGTGGGACCTTTCGAGGTGGCATCTAAAATAATCAGAAGCAACTCCTAATCATTTCAACACAGCAAATCAATATCCCTGCACAAATACATAGATCTACGACTCCTCAGCAGGTTGTCTGAAATCCAGAAAGCTATGAAAAAAGTCCCAAGATTTTTGGAATTCATTTGGTGGCAAAACCTGACTTGGCTGATATAAAGAATTTGTAGATTTCTATTTTTCTCACTTACGGATCTGTATAAGAGTGTAGGGGAAAGGGCAGAAATTTAATATTCTTGATTACGAGTGCCATCCCAGAGTGCTCTGGGGTGTTACATAACAGATGGTACATGTGCTATATAACCTTTCTAAAATCCAAATAATTCTGCAACATATTTGGGCCCATGTGACAGGAATGACCGTGGACCCATATGATATTTTTAAATCTGGAACTCCAACAGCCATTCATTCTCTAGAACTGGCTTTAAGGGGTTGTCCATATTACAGGGATAGGGTCAGTTTCCTCATTTTAGGCTTCCTTTAATCGAGACCATGCATCAGGTTCAATGTTGAAGCCTCTTGGGAGCCCAATCATGCTTCAGTGTAGGGATGAGTGAGCCCCCGAATCCGGGGCCTTGCCCCTGATGATATAAGGAAAAGTGAAGGAGGCATGGGATTTGGAGGAGAGCAAGAAGACAACTACAACAGGCTCTTCTCCTCCTCAGGTGTTTTCGGATTCCAAATTTGAGCCTCTGGCCACCCTCAGCAGCAATGTCCCCATCCTGTCCTGTGGAGGGCTGGCCAAGCGTTGGCTGGTTCCTGGCTGGAGGTTGGGCTGGATCCTCATTCATGACCGAAAAGACATTTTTGGCAATGAGGTGAGAGCAATGTGGTATGTCTCACTGGGATGTATATTTACTTTGTGTGCATAGTGGGTAGGAGGCGGGTGTTTTGTGTTTTTCTCTTTCTTCCCAGCCCTGTAGTTCTGGATGCCTGGAGAGGTGTCAGGTAAAGATGGTGCTGCGTCCTCTCCAGGTTGTTTTTCTGCACCTGGCTCTGTGAAGAAGTTGCATCTGTCTCCAATTTTTGGACCAGAAAAAAGGAAAGAATAGCAGTAATACACCTAATATTGTTTGTAGGTGTACAAAGTGCCAGTACTTTATATATGTTATTATTATGTTTTAAAAAATATACCTTTATTGATTTCAGAGAGAGGAAAGGAGAGGGAGAGAGAGAGAGAGAGAGAAACATCAATGATGAGAGAGTCATCGATCGGCTGCGTTCTGCACGTCCCCGACTAGGGATCGAGCCCGCAACCCAGGCATGTGCCCTGATTGGGAATCGAACTGTGNGTTCTGCACATCCCCGACTAGGGATCGAGCCCGCAACCCAGGCATGTGCCCTGATTGGGAATCGAACTGTGATCTCCTGGATCCTAGGTCGATGTTCAACTCCTGAGCCACGCCCGGCAGGGCTAGATATATATTATTTTAATTTAATCCTCCCAACAACCCTATGAGGCCAGTATTCGTATTATCTCCATTTTATAGATAGTTGAGAAAAATGAGGCACAGAGACGTTGTATAATTTTCCCAGAGTCACACAGCAGGTGCATAGCAGAGCTGGACTACAAACGCAGGTGGTCTGATCTAAGAACGACACTAGGCACCATCACTTCTTCAGAGATATAAAAACTGATAGAAAGAATTGTCATAACCAGAGTTCCCAAAGCCAAGATGCTTAAGAAAGGCTAAATAATGTGTTTGCTGGGGGGCTTTTAGATCCGAGACGGGCTGGTGAAGCTGAGTCAGCGGATCCTGGGACCCTGCACTATTGTCCAGGGAGCTTTGAAAAGCATCCTGCGTCGCACCACTCAAGAGTTCTACCAGGATACTCTAAGCTTCCTCAAGGTAAGGGCATCCTGTGGCCTTTCACTTTGGGGGTCAGGGAAGGCCATCAGTGGAATTAGGAATAATGGGTCCTCATTTCTGGAGCAATGTTCCCTGCTGGTGCTTCCAAAGCAGGAAGTGGCATCAGTGCAGGTGTCCACCCATACATTTCTGACTTCCGGAAATTCCTCTGCTCCTGGTCCAAAGTTTCATGTGGCAGGTTTTTTTCTTGTTGACTCCTTATGCCAGTAGGGCAAACTTAGGTTCCTTGACCTTGATGTGGGCTCTCCTTTTAATGACTTGTTTTCCCTTTTACTTAACTTTTAATCTGCTTTCTCTTGTAGTCCAATGCTGACCTGTGCTATGGGGCGTTGGCTGCCATCCCTGGACTCCGGCCAGTCCGCCCTTCTGGGGCCATGTACCTCATGGTAAGAATGTGGGTGGCAGTCACTTCTGGTAAGGCAAAGGAAAGCCGGTCTGCAGGGCTCACAAAGAGTGAGGCTCCTGAGCCAGTCAGTCTAGGAATTACCTTGCTCTGAATTGTTCTCCTGACATGATCTAAGCTCAGTGTTTAAAACCAAACCAAACAAAACCCTCTTAAAATGAATTAATTCCTTAATATACTCACTTGATATGTACACAGGGGGAAGAAATAAGACATAAATAAGAGGCTTTCTACACCACTGTAGTTCTCAACTGGGAATGATAGGTCCCCAAGGAGTGTTTGGGGATGTACGGGAATTTTGTTTGTTTTCAGAATGACCAGGGGGTGCTGTTGGCATTTTGTGGGCTAGGCATGCTAAATATCTTGCAATGGGCGGAAAAGTTCCCTGTAATCAAGAATTGCCTGGCCCATGAGACTAATCATTTCTTTTTTGAGAAATACTGGCATTCTATTTTCAGCTTTCATTTATCAGCATACAGGAAGGAACCCTTCAATAAACTGTTAATATAAACATATTCTCTTTTCATTGTGAAAAATTCCATGAGCTTAAAAGTGCTAGAACTTATTCATCAAATTAGTTATCAGTTGTAGAGTTCCAAGATACTTTTTAGAGCAGTCCCTACCTTAATTTCTGGCATAGGCAGTTGGCCTATTTTCCCTCCTGATAAGTTTCTCTCTCCTTGTTACTGGTATAGGTTGAAATTGAGATGGAACATTTCCCAGAATTTGAGAATGATGTGGCGTTCACGGAGCGGTTAGTTGCTGAACAATCTGTCCATTGCCTCCCTGCAACAGTGAGTGCTTATACATCTCTCAAGACATTCTCAACAGCTTCTGGAGCCTCTGGAGCTCTCCCTGAGCTTCTCTTTAGCCTGACCTTTCCTCCCCCAACAAAATGTATTCTCATTTGATAAGATTCAAACTGACGTGTCTCATGGCCTCTACTTAAAATTTGGTTCTCTCCATCGTTATCCCATCCGTACTGGGAAGAAAAGGTGTGGTGGGACATTCCAGATGAAATCAAGCTTGTCCCAAATGAGTCCCTTTTAAGATGAATTAACTCAGTTACTGACTTAGTGTCCCAATGATGGGAACTGAGTGGATTGATAGCCTTGAGTAAATGGGGCTGCTTCTTGCTGATGAGGGCCCTGGCCATTTTAGGGTGGTCCAGTACCAGATTCAATTGCTCTGAGAATAACAGACTCTTATTTTTGCAGTGCTTCGAGTACCCGAACTTCTTCCGAGTGGTAATCACAGTCCCTGAAGTGATGATGCTGGAGGCCTGTAGCCGGATCCAGGAGTTCTGTGAGCAGCACTACCACAGTGCCGAAGGGAGCCATGAGGAGTGTGACAAATAGGCCTGAGTCCATGCTCCTGAGTATGTCCCATCCAGAGAGGGCAGGACTGGGCCCTGCTGTTCCTCAGGTTGTCAGGTGCCTCTACTGGGAGAGAGGCCTCAAAAACACATCGATAGCTCAGAACTGCCCCTGCTTTACCCCAGCTGTACATATGCACACTCTGAATCCCAGATTCTTCTCTCACTCTCCTCTGCTGGAGTGACTAATTCATTAATCTGCCCCTTCCACAATGACTTCCTCCTTTTTTTCTGAGTGTATCAGGTGAACAAAATTTACCAGCAAGCAGTAGAGGCAAAAAAAAAAAAAAAAAAAAAGAGAGCTCAGGATGAGAGAAACAACAGTGAGAGAACTTGGGCCCCCAACCATTTCCTCATACTATAAGAAAATACTCCCTCTAGTCAGATCTGAAACTCAACTCTGTTACTGCCTAACTTCAGGTATACCTCACTTTATGCAATAGTTTCAATGAAATAAGTTGGGGACATATGTATTTGGTTAATTATATTCTAAATGCATTAGGAAACATTGCTAATTCGAAGAATCCCTTACAGAAACACTTTTGTTGGTTTTTGGTAAAGAATTGTTTTGTGATGGAAATAAATATCCTTTAATTGATTGACTTTCTAAATTTAGGTATGTATCAAGCTTTCTTAAAATGGAGACATATTTGTACTAAAAAAAAGGAGGAATCATAGGACCTTCCAGAAACACTGCTCTGTAAGGGCCACAAATATCCCTACTTGTCATTGTTATAGAATCATTACTACTTTGCCTGTAATGTTAATATTGATTTATTGATATATATATTATATTATCTTTTCGTATGTTTTCTAAGAAACATTTATATGGACAAGATCCTTTATTTTGGCAAAGGCATAAATTATTGTTTTTCTTTTTTTAAAAAAAATAAAATAAAATTTACTAAGTATGCTTTCCTGTTATTTTTATTTTTTCCTTCTGTGGGGAATTTCTATCCCTAGGTGCTGCTCACTGCTCAGTCTGATTGATGCCTTACCACCAGGTTTCATTTATTTCTTTGAAGATGTACTGACATTTGGAGTCACTTAAGAAACACTATTCCTAAAACACTTTATTTGGGAGCTCAATTTCTGGCTTCCTACTTACAAAGAAGGCAAACTAAAAAGCAACATTATTAACTTCTGGCCTTAGACGTCACACTTTCAACTTTTTGGATCCCCAATCTCTGGTCCCAATTTCCTACAACTGGTCTAGATCCACTAACCACTCCCTGGGGAATGAAGGTGAACTGGTTCAGTTAACCCAGGGAATGAGAGGTGCCCAGCCAGGGTCTTTTTTCACTATGAGCTTTTCTTGTGCAATTCCTCTTAGGCACAGCTGCCTAACTTCTTCCTCACCATTTCCTTTAGAGGAGAGCGTCTGAAGTTACCTTGCAAGGCTGGGGGCAGAAATATACCATCATCTGTCCGGAGATTCCTCACTAAGGGAAGTTTTCCTTATCTTAAAGAGGAACTTCAGGGCTCAACACTGCCAGTCAACACCCAATTAATTTCCTTTACAAAAATAAACACCCATGTCCCTGTTCAGCGAGCTCACACTAAAACTTACCTTTCCATTTTCTTCAGCAAATCCAAAAGGAATAGACAGTGATTGAGATGATAAAAGACTTGTTTCCTGTATAGGGCCACTGCTGATAATTTTCCGAAAATGCCTGGCTCCTCTTTTCCTGTATCCTGCTGCTTCCCCAGCCCCAAAGATCTCCGTCCGGACATAAACAGGAAGACTTGGCGGTTTATACAAGACCTTGTTTCTTCAAACGCACATAGGCTATCAAACATTACTGAATTCTACTCAGACTTCTTAAATTTCTGAATTTCCTTGATGTCTACATTTTGACATCAAGCATTTATAAAATAATACATGCACACTGGACAAACGTCAAACAATGCAACCCGCCCCATCCCTCCCCAAAAAACCCCACTCTTCAGGCCTGTCCTCCAGCCGCCCAGTCTCTTCTCCCCTGAGGTAATCACAGTTGCTGGTTCATTCTTCCAGGTTATTCTATGTCTTTGTTGTATATGTAAATGTGTGTGTGTGTGGGGGTGTGTGTGTGTGTAGTTTTCCTTTTTTCTTTCCTTTCTTCAAAGTATCAGTCAACTTCATAACTCAGTCTCCTACTGAAATTCAAGGAGGAGTGACGTTTCCGAGGCGTCCATCATGTCCTGGATGTTTCTAAGAACAGTCTTTGTTTTTACAAGGAAAGGGCCATATATTTATTTTTTTTAATCCTCACCAGAGGACACTTTTCCCGTTGCTTTTCAGAGAGAGTGGAAGGGAGAGGGAGAGAGCGACACGCGGGGGTTTGTTGTTCCACTTATTTATGAATTCATGGGTTATTTCATATGCCCTGCCGGGGGATGACCCCAGAACCCTGGCTTATCAGGACGGCGCTCTAACCAACTGAGCTACCTGGCCAGGGCCATCCTGGATGTTTCCAGATAAAGGAAGGACCCCCCACGCCGGGGCTGCTTCCAAACTAACTTAAAATTCCCGGAGGCAACTTCCAGCTGCTTCGCAGATAAAGGAGAGAAAATAAGAGGAGAGAGCCCGTTGTGTGAGCGGCCCAGGTTAAGGATGGAAACACGGACCCTGACCGGCGAATTCCCCTTTCCTTCCCGCCCCGAGCACCGCCTACCGGGAAGCTACCGCCCACGTGGTGCTGCGAAGCATCCTCCTCCGGCCCGCGGCAGCCATCAACGGCCATCAACTGCTGGACCCCGCGCGGGGGCCGGGCCGGGGCCGGAAACCCACCGCTGCGCAAGCGCGGAGGGAGCGAGGGCGCCGAGCGGCGCGTGGCGCAAGCGTTGTTGCGAGGCAACGAGGCGCCGCTCAGTGCGCAGGCGCAGAAGCTGAGAGGCCGGTGAGGCTCAGTCCCTCCGAACCGGTGCCCGCTTTCCTCAGCAATGAGCTTGGGTTTTATTTCCCTTCCGGCGTGTCCCCAGGACTCGCGCCCTGTTGAGCGAGTCTCTTCCTCCTTCGTGTGCTGCTTGGGCCACAGCCAGCAGGAGGCTTCCAGGAAGTCAACAAATCGCACCTAGGTATCGTAACTCTCTGCTAACCTTTCCCCAGCTCTGGGCCAGGCCCAGCAAGGGCGATGATTTGTGAAACAGAAGCAGAAATCCCTCCCCAGTAGCGGTTGTTAAGTTTCCAAAAGTATGGTCCCTGGAACTTTCCCCCCGAAGAATCGGGGGCGTCACGGTCCCAGGTGCCTGGCGTATATGTTCCAATCTTAATCCGAAGAATCCACTGCTGGGCTCCACACACTCGCCCATGACTCTGCGCGAGAGACTATATTTTAAGTACCGTAAAGGTTGAATGATTGAATCCGTTGCAGAAGAACCGAATTCCCACTTTATTCACACTCTTATTTATTTTAAGCGATTTGGATGTATTTACAAACAAGTTTCCTACGGGCTCATGGCACCGGCCAATCTGGATGCTCCCTATGGGTCCAATCGTTGCACAGCACCTTCCAAAGAAGCAGCCACTCTCCAACATTCAGCTGAGGTATGTTATATAGGAGGTGATGCCAGTTCTGCAGAGAAAACAATCAGAAGTACCAAGGGTGTCTTAATTTTTGTTAATGTTCCAAGCATGGGGGAAAAAAAAAAGCGTTCCTTGAGACATTTACTCATTGATAACTGAAATTCAAAGTGCATTATAAAATTCATTATGCCCCATTAAAAAATAAAGCCACTGAGAGTTTTTGCTTTGGCAGCACATATACTAAAATAGAAACAATGTAGAGAAGTTGAGCATGGCACTAGCAATCTGAATTCAACAGCACATTAAAAGGATTCTATACATCATGACTAAGTGGGTTTTATTCCTGGGATGCAAGGATTTTTCAACATATGAAAAATCAGTGTGGTACACCACAATAATAGAATGAATGACAAAAACATGGCCATCTCTAGAAAAAAAAGCTTTAAAAAAAATCTGTATTAGATAATGGATATTAACTTAATGTGGTAATCATTTCACAATATACATAAGTAAATCAAGTCAGTATGCCGTACACTTTAAACTTATACAGTTTGTATGTCAAATATATCTCAATAAAACTGGAAACAAATTAAGCCATGAAAATGTAAGTTTTATGAGGGCAAGGATTATTTGGTCTGTTTTATTTTCTTCTATATGCTTAGTAAGCAGAACAGCCTCTGGTGCCATGCCAACAGTGAATAGTGCTTCTTTACCATCTTTAGCCACTACCATTCCCTTGGACACACTGTAGACTACAGCCCCATCTCTGACTTTCTGGGGCTGCTTCCAAGGAGGAAGAAGCATCCACCAGCCAAGAGCTCCTGCTCTGGAGGCAGGGAGACATGGGTCCACTTTGGTGCTACCATTTACTAGCTGTGGATCCTTGGGCAAGACCCTCTGTCTCTCTGAACCTCAATTTCCCAGTATTAAATGTATTGGCCACACCCAATACATTTAATATTTTTTCAAAAATATATAGCACACTGTTCATTTTCAGAGTTTCTAATTGTACCCACAATGGCTTTTTCCAGCCTTTCTTTTTTGAATCTAGTTCCAATCAGAGTTCACCCATTGCATTTAGGTGTCATATCTCTTTAGTCTTTAATTTAAAGCAGTATGCCTGATTTAATTTTTTTTTTTTTTTCTTTTCATGATAGTGACAGTTTTGAAGAGTTCAGGCTCATTGTCTGGTAGAATGTCTCAAGTTCAGCATTTGACTGCTGCTGCCTCATGATTAGGTTCAGGTTAAACATTTTCAGCAATGATGTGTTCTTCCCCATACATTCCACCAGGTGGCACACAATACCAGTTTATCCCATGATTGGTGATGCTAAATTCAATCACTTGGTTAGGGTGCCCTTAACCTCACAGAACTATGATGGGGAACGGAGGGGTGTGTTAAATGAAGGAATGTATCCAAGGGGTCCAGTCCATAAACCTTACTTCTTGCCTATTTCCCTTCAGCCTTCACTTTGGGGCAAATACACAACATTCCTTACTACACTTTCCTATCACATGTGCCTCTTGGTGGGACTGATAGTTGTCACTAACCTGAGACGACTTTAAAAAATGTTTTTATTATGAATGTTTCAAACATATACAAAAGTAGAGAGAGTAGTATAATGAATCTCAATGTATTCATCACTCAGTTCCAAAAATTATCACCATTTCACCAATTTGTTTCTTTCCCTCACATTTTTTCTGGTGCATTTTAAAGCAAATTCGAGATAGCATATGAATTTATATGCTATCTTTTCTTCCTTCTTTCCTTCCTCCCTCCCTCCCTTCCTTCTTTCTTTCCAACACCATG